GATGTGTCATATAGCCTTTTATAGATTTATTTCATATGTAAAAACTGCTCTAACTACTGCCACATTCTCCAGTAGAAATATAATGTGAGCCACATGTATAATTTTGAATTTTCTAATAGTCTCATTTAAAAAACTAAAAGGAAACAGATGATATTTAATAATGTTTTCTTTAATCACATATATCCAAAATATTATTTTAGCATATAATCAATATGAAAATTCTTAAAGAAGTGTTGTACCTTCTTTTGTTTAAGACTAAGTTTGTGAAATTTAGTGTGTGTTTATAGTACATCTCAATTTGCACTAACCACGTTCAATGGCTCAGTAGCTACTTGTTGCTAGTGGCTCCTGCATTGGACAGTAAAAATAGTATATTAACTAAAGAAGAACCTTTTCTTCTAAGCTAGCAGCAGATTAAGAATGCCTGTAAACAACAGGTGTGATTTTCACAGATTAAGTGTGGCATGTCATACCTTAATCTCTAGCTACATTTAGTTCCAGTAAGTCAACTTCCTAATTTCCAGATGCTTCAGATCCTTCAAACCTAAGGAATATAGGGAGAGGAGGAGTTAGGGATAGTAGATAGTATATGTAGATTCCTTCAGCATTACAGACTCAGAATGGCTTTTACAGTCTCATAGTTTATCATGAAGGTTGGTGAATGTGGACTTTTTGAAGGAGAAAATACACTTTACCACGTAAAGCATATATTCCAAGCATCGGGCCACACGTGGTATGATCCCTCTTGCACTTGAGCCACCAGGAAGCACTTTCCAGGGGTTTTAGCACATCCCCTTACTTCAATCAGATGTGGTCCTGAGAGCAGAAGTATGTGAACTCTGTTGCATTTCATACCTTCTCAAGTCTAATATGACATCTTATTGTCTCACTCAGTTTCAAGGAAGCTGGTGATAACTGTCACTTCTTCAACTCAAAGTCTGGCATTGACAGATCAGAGATTTTTCTTTTTAAGTTTGAGATTTATCTTCAGGATCTTCAGAATTTATGGAAGAACTTATTGTGATAATATTGTCCCTTTTAAAAAATGTTCTTATTTAGACTATCCCATGGTTATCAAAAGACTTGGAAGGAATTTCTCATAATTCTGACCCACTTCTGTAAAATATTGCTATGAAGAAATTCATAGGACTTTTGAATAAAAAGCTGAAGAACACAGTGATGTATAATCCATACGTGTTTTGTTCTCTTTACCTTTCTTTTGATCATGAGCACTGCCTGAAGATGTGTTTGCCTGGTCTGCTTTTCTCTTTTCACAGTAAACAGTTAACTTACATATTGAGAGTATCTGTTACCTAAACAATGACACTTGTAACTATTTCCAGAAGGTCTCTTTATATCCTTACTGATTTCTTTGCAGTGCAAGATGCTCTTTTAACATTTTTCAGTTTGCTTTTGATTTTATATCAGGACAGTATATATTTTATATTATTTACACAAATGATACTTACATGCCTTAGAATAATAGTCACTTCTGGTATCCTTGTGTAACTCTGATTCCTCTTCCTCTGAGATGACCACTTTCATCTCTTTTGGTGGTTTCTACTGTCGTTTATTTTTATCTTTCCAAATGACATTTTTATATTATTGTTCTATTATTTTTCTTATTTGAGCATCATCTGTTGACTTCTTATCGTAGATGATGAGGAATTAGTGTTTTTACACAGACCAACACACACTTCCTTCTTTCTATCCTTCCAACATAATTATCTCCAGGTCTACATTATTAAAACTGAGGCACATAATATATTATGATTTACATTTTGGTTTTTCCTAGTGTACCTTAGTTTTCCTTTTTGTTTTTCCTGTCTTGGGTATCTGTTCCCAGATTCCTTTCTACACCCGTAAAATTCCTCCCAGTATCATTACTACTGTAAAATACATCAGCCCTTATTAATTGCCCTCAGATAATCTGTACATCTGCTTTTTTTCTTGGAAAAATTAAGTTCCTTTCTCTGCCAAGTAATGTGTACTTAGTCTCTAGGTTGTGTCGTCCTTATGGTTCCCTTCACCATTCACCTGTGATAGAGCTCGTGTTCTCTGGATCCCACATCTTCTTTCCAAGTTTACCTCTTCGTTTTATAGAGTATACCCTAGTAGCTTCCTGAGAGAGTCGCTGAGTGAGGTCCTTTTCGTGGGGGGATTTTGCATTCAACTCCCATATTTGATTGGTAGTTTAGATACAGAATTCTAGATTGGTAATCATTTTTTTCCCCCTTAGAGTTTTGAAAGCATTACTCAAATTGTCTTCTAGTTTCCTGTGTTGCCTTTAAAAACTCCAATGTCTTCTGATTTTTTGATTTGACAAGTGATCATTTTTGGCCTTTCTAAAAGTTTTCAAGATGTTTTCTTTCCCCTAGTGTTCTAAACTTTAAAAAAAGAGTATTCATATTATCATCTAAGCACCAAATGATGGATTTAGTCTTTTCGCAAGAGCGAGGCAAGAAAGAATGATTATAAATGTTACCTAGCAGTGCTATTGCTACCCTGGTATTTGTAGCACTCAAAGGCTTTCCTGTTTATTTCTTACACTGGCTCAACATTTTATTAAATTAAATAGGAGATTCAAGCTGTGGTTCAACACAAGAGAAACTTCCTTGGTTTATTTTAGCAGATCTCTCAAGATTCCAAAACTAAAATTGGTGCCAGATTTTACCCACTCGATAGATTAAGTAGTTTTGGACTTTGTAAATGAAGGTGAGAGAGGTATTTGCTGTCTTCATTCTCTTGCATTATATTATCCTAGTTTGATCCAGTTGCCTTAGACTAAGCAAATGATTCCATACTCAGCTTTACATTGAAATGTAACTTATAATATCACCTAAATATTACTTATCAGCCGTTTCCTTTTATTTGTAGTGTCACTTGGCTTTTGTTTTTCATCCTTATTATTAAGAAAGATTTTGAACCAGGCTTTGCGATTAATTCCAGAAATCCTTTTTTAAATAAGGCCGTGAACACTGAGCTCGTGTGGCAGACTCTAGTTTCTCTGCTGGTTTCCGATAAAGTTATGAAATGAGTTTCACAATGAAATATTATGAAAACTTGATTCTCTGCATTATGACAAATTACTCATCATTTTCTCCCTAAAAGTTTTTTATTGATACAGCCACAAAGCTATTTTTACCCCACGCAGATGTACAAGTAAAGTTGTTTGCTTGAAATAGATTCCTGGGAAGTTATTTGGAATTAACTATTTGAGCCTCAATTCAGATAATAGAAGCCTCTGAGGAGACTTCCAAGAAACAGTTTAAGAGTGGGATAGGATAGACTGCACAAAGACATAATACTGAGTGTTCCACAAGCAGCTGATGAGAAACATTTTCAACTTTGTGTGTTAATAATGTTTCTTTATGCTTCTTTATACTTACAGCAATCTGTATTTTAGAATCCCATATTACTGCAAGTATGGTCATTCTCATTCATTAGAGGGTTTGAGAAGACTGAGCTAATCATTGCATCCATCTCTTACTTCATAATCCTTCTTTTATGTTTAGTTTTCTTTGACTCTGAAGAAGCCACCTTGGCCTTTGTTTTGACTGGCATCGTCCCTTGTCTCTCTGCGTGACATTCCTTTAAAAAACCTCCGCTGGACTCTGCTGTTCATGGCAAGTCAACAGAGGGAACAAAGATTTCAACAGAGAGCGGTTTTTTTGTTTTGTTTTGTTTTGTTTTGTTAGATACAGCTAAACTGCCCTGCATAAAACAGAACCTTACTTATGGGAATAGATCACAGTATTTTATAACTGTGAAGAACCACAGTTCTCTGAGAAGAATGAAAACTTTTCTCTTAACATGAATATAACGTACATCACCAAAATGTGAAGTTTTTCCTAACTCCCATTTTTTAAAGTTTAGAAAAATGAGAGAGCAAAAGATTTATCAACTGTTTATTAAGAAGAATATGAAATAATAGATGCTGTTCTTCCAAAATGGGGAGAAAAATCTGACTTATCTTTGACGGATTTCAAGTTCTAGATTTTTGAAGGTAAAGTTGTCAAAAGTGGACTGCAGTATAATTGAGTTTCTCAGATAAAAGAAAAAATTCTTAGGTATCTTTTCCTGATATGAGTGTTCTGAAAATTGGAGAATGGTTAAGCAAGTCTTGTTCTTTTGTTTTATATATTTTTAAGAGGAAGCACTTTATTCTTAATCCTCTAGTTTCGTAAGAAGTTGAAGAAGGAAGTGCTTCCAATAACCTGGTGACTCAGTTCTCCATCCTACTTGAACTCTTCTTAACATCTCTCCTGTCTTACGTGAACTCAGCGTTCTGTAGGATTCTGTTTGACTTTCCGAGAGATCAGCATCCGCCTCTCCAGAAGCTGCGTTTTAAACTTGCGTGGAACATCAAGGGTGGGGATTGCTTGGTCGGCTAATAAACTGGCTCATTCTTAGCCAGACCACTCACTTACATCCAGTTGTCATTTTTGGTTTTCTCATATGAGATTATGAGAAAACCACACATTCTTGAAATATGAGGATGCGTCACTTGCTTTTTAATGTCTCTTAAGAAATTGTTTGCCAACAATTGTCTCTGAAGAGTATAATCTGAAAGATCATGCTGTTTACTGCACTTTTCTCATCTCGGCTTCACTGCAGGAAAAGAGAATGTTTTGATATTCAATCTAATTATCATTTCATCAAAGCTGGCTTCATGCTTAGAGAGTAGTTCGAAAACAACTTTGTACTTTTAAATAATCAAGCCCTTGCCCCCTCTGCTGTCTAACACAGTTTTATTCTCTGTTACAGAGAGCAAATTCCTCACGTTTATCTTGCTTGACTAACTTGACGCTTGGCTCTTAATAATATACTACTTCAGCCTCCTTTACTTCTTTTCTTTCCTTGCTTTCTTTATTGTGTCCTCTGTGACGATATCTTGTTGGATTTGCTTCTGATGGGAAGGACATTGAATTAAGTAAACAGCCCTTCCTTAAAGGGTTAAGTAATTAATCTACTTCACCTAGTCTTCCATCATTTTCTAGGACAGTCTCCGTAAGAAGGATGACAGGATTGAAGAGCTGGAAGAAGCACTAAGAGAAAGTGTACAGATAACTGCAGAGCGGGAAATGGTGCTAGCACAAGAGGAATCAGCCAGGACCAGTGCTGAAAAACAGGTCTGCTATTTCATACAGTTCCAAGCAATGCTGCTGGTTAACCAAAAGGTAAAACACAACCAGTATAGTTTAGGTAAACTACACATATTGTATGTTTATAGGGTTTCAAAAGCACTTCATAGAGTGTAAGTCCCAAGGAGTTCCTTCACAGCGGTATTAGATACAAGGATATGGTTTCTTTTGTGTCAAGTATAGAAAGAAAGACCAACTTTATTAGCAAAGCTGAGAGAGAATTGAACATTTCGCAGAATGAGTGCCTTTCAGTACCCTGTTCCTAGATAAATGCCTTGTCTGCTGTTTCTTAAATAAGAATTGAAATAAAGTTGTATGAGAATTGACGCATGTTAACACAGCAGTCTCTGCGTTAATAACTTAGGTCTGATCCCATATATATTTATGTAGCATGTGCTAATGTATTGGATGAGATGAAATGGAGCTTATCTGTCTGCTACAAGACTGGACACAACCCTAACTTTTAAATGGAAAGAAAAACGCGAACTTTTTTTTTTTTTTTTTTTGAGACGAAGTCTTGCTCTTGTCCCCCAGGCTAGAGTGCGATGGCACTATCTCAGCTCACTGCAACCTCCGCCTCCCGGGTTCAAGCGATTCCCCTGCCTCAGCCTCCCAAGTAGCTGGGATTACAGACACCTGCCAGCACGCCCAGCTAACTTTTGTGTTTTTAGTAAAGTTGCGGTTTCACTGTGTTGGTCAAGCTGGTCTCGAACTCCTGACCTCGGGTGATCCACCCGCCCCGGCCTCCCAAAGTGCTGGGATTACAAGCATGAGCTACCATGCCTGGCAAAAAAAAAACAAAAAGACACAAACGTTTCTGACTGAAAAACGTTAATTCCAAATAGCTAATAGTTTATTCATTTCATACCCTGCCTCACTGAAGAGAAGAGTTGAGGTTGTAACAAGTTGAGGTTAATAGTGAGTGTGAAGGACATAGAAACCATACACTGGAGTCCCGGATAAGCCTGTCGCAGCCTCGGAGGGGCTTGCCAAAGAGTTCTGCTCGGCAGTTTTTGGTGCTTGTTTGACGTATTTCCTGCATCTTTTAAGGTCTCCGTACTCTTGCTTTTGACTTTTCATTGACTTTTCATGAATAACTACAGATGGGAAGTGTGAATGGAAGAAATAGTTTTAACAAGTGAAGGTTATAATCCCAGCTCCCATTATGAGAATGTGATTTAAGATTTCAAATCTATCTGACACATAGGTTCATAGCACTTAATTTTGCAGTAATTGTTTCCTTTCCATTTCTTAGTGGGAGAAATATAAATGTTAAAGAGGGAAAAAATGCTCAATGAGAGGGTGACAGGAATCTTTCTAGGAACCCCTTGGTCAGACCACTGGTGTTATTTTGAGTTAAGGTAGGTACAGTAAAGAAGGGCACGTTTCCAAGGCAGACATAGCGTGTTCCCCAGGGAGCCCCTTCATAGCTCTGTGGGATGCAAAGACATGGTTTCTTTAGTGTCAAGTGTAGAAAGACCAACTTCGTTAGCAAAGCTGAGAGATCATTGAACCTTTTGCAGAATGAATGCCTTTCAGTACCCTGTTCCTAGATGAATACCTCGTCTACTCTTTCTTTGGATACGTTCCTAATGCACAGTCACCTGGAGCTTGGGTAGTGGAGAGCTCCAGAGAAGGGACGGTGACAGCCACTGTGTCACCCAAGGGTGGGGAGGAATTTTCTTTAATCTTGATTTTACCCTTTTTATATTCTCTCCTTTATTTTTCAAATAAAGATTTTTCTTCTGCTTTGGCCTCATTATTTATTGACAAGTATTAAACATCAGAGATCATGCAGAGACTTTGGCAATTAATAATAGATCATGTCACTATGGGTTATAGACTTCTGTTATGTGTTTTCCTTTTTGAGGCTGTTGTGTGAACTGATTATAATACGCTTTAGGGGTATGTTTTATTTATGGTTAATAGACTTTGCAGTTTTTAGGTTTACAGAAAACTTGAGCAGAAAGTACAAAGAGCTTCCATTTACTCCTTTCTCTACCTCAGTTTCCCCTATTGTTAACATATGGCATTAGTGTAGTATTTGTTAAAATTAATGAACCAGTTTTAATACATTATAACTGTGTGGTCCATAGCTTAGGGTTCACTTTTTGTGGCACACAGTCCCATGTGTTTTGCCAAATGTGTAGTGACCTGTATCTGCCATTACACTATTATACAGAGTAATTTCACTGCCTTGAAAGTATCATGCGCCACCGATTTATTCCTCCCTCATCTCCCCCGTCCCTGATCTTTTTACTGCCTCTGTAGTTTTGCCTTTTCCTTTACTGATAGTTGGAGTCATATAGTATGTAGCATGTTCCGCTTGGCTTCTTTCACTTAGCATCTGCATTTAAGGTTCTTCTTTTTGTGGCTCGATAGCTCATTTCCCTTTATCTCTGAGTAGTATTCCATTGTGTGGATGCGCCACAGTTTGCTCATTCCTTCAGCTGCTGAAGGACATCTTGGTGCCATTCAGTTTTTGGCACTTAGGAATAAAGCTGCTGTAAACATTCACATGCAGACTTTGGTGTGGATGTAAATTCTCAGCTCATTTGGGTAAATAACTGGGAGTGTGATTGCCGGATTCTGTGGTAAGGTCATATGGTAAGAGTTTTGGAAAAAGCTGCCAGACTGTCTCCCAAAGTGGCTGTATATCTTTTGCTTTTAATTGCATGCTTTTTTTCCTTTTCCGCCTTTCTGCTACTCACTGCCTATCTGAAGCTGTTGCGTGAAATATTGCATGAGACCAGTTATTTGAACTTTAAGTGGTTCGAGGTATGAAGAAATTGCTTTTACGTTTACACTTCTGAAGCCTTACAACCTTCATCTACTGTCCTCTCCTCTCCCATTTATTATTATTTTTTTTATCTTTTCGTGTCTTTTTTTTTTTTTTTTTTTTTTTCTGGAGTGTAATGGCGTGATCTCAGCTCACTGCAATCTCTGCCTCCTGGGTTCAAGTCATTCTCCTGCCTCAGCCTCCCAAGTAGCTGGGACTACAGGCATGTGCCACCATGCCCAGCTAATTTTTGTATTTTTAGTAGAGACGGGGTTTCACCATGTTGGCCAGGCTGGTCTTGAACTCGTGACCTCAAGTGATCCGCCCACCTCAGCCTCCAGAAGTGCTGGGGTTACAGGCATGAGCCACCGCGCCCAGCCCATCTGTTCCTGTCTTTTAGCTCCACTGTTAATTTTACTTATGTATGTTAATTATATGTACTGAGATAATCTGCAGATGTTCTTTTGAAATGCCTTAAATGAGGCTTTTTTGTTTAGGAACATTATTCTTATTTTCTTTCTCAGATTCAAAAGTTACCTGTTTCTCACTTAAATTTAGCTTCTGGGAAAGAATGACTTTCTCTGATAAAGGTAGAGTATCTACATCTCTTAATTCCTCCAACAGCAAAGTAAATTGTATGGGAGCCATAACTTTATTAAAATAAGATGTAGAACCTTCCAAAGTTCGAACAAGGAAGAACTCCCATAAGAAAACATCTCTTAATGCCTTTTCTTTATTCTCACAGGATCCCCTTACAGTTTATTTGTTCCTAATACATGCTGCCCCACACTGAGCCCATGCTAGAAATTTAGAGAAGTTGTGTAATGACCTCATGAAGGAAGGTGCCCCCTCACCTGTGCGAGCAAATTGAGAGATGAAGTGAATGATCCCCACAGGGGAGAACCCCACAGCTCCTTTACTTTTGCTTTGTCCCTTTCCACATGGGGATTCTGTTTCTGGAACCTTTCTCTGTTTAACTTTTGGTGGGTTTTGTGTTTTATTGAATGTGTCTATTTTCTTAAACTGAGCATAAACAAGGTCTCCTAAACAAGTCTCAGAATTGCCAGGGGCTAAAGAGCAGTATGCTTAGCTCAGCTATGATGTTATGAACTTTAAATTTTTTAATTTTCTTTTAACATTTTAAAAGAATGATTTAAATATCTTCACTGGGCCAGGATGCAGTGGCTCATGCCTGTGATCCCAGCACTTTGGGAGGCAGAGGTTGGAGCACTACTTGAAGCCAAGAGTTCGAGACCAGCCTGTACAACAATGCAAGGCCTCGTCTCAACAACAACAACAACAAAATTGTAATTAGCCGGACATGATGGGGTATGCCTATATTCCCAGCTGCTTGAGGGACTGAGGTGAGAGGATCACCTGAGCCCAGGAGTTTGAGGCTACAGTGAACCATGATTGTACCACTGCATCCCAGCCTGAGCAACAGAGTGAGGCCCTGTCTTTAAAAATAATGATAATAACGACATATTTGCACATATGAATTTGATTTTTCTTTTAAAAGCCCCATTTTTAACCGTGATACTCAGTGATAAACAGTGATATTTTTTCAAATTGCCATTTTGACATTATTTGGATTACAAAGTATAAATTATATCTGTGGTTTGCTAAGTAATTGTACATTAATGAGCATTTTTAAGGATTACGGTTTTTTTTAAACGTATAAAGTTCTTCATTGGCTGAAAATCTCCCCTGTCATTTATGTAGCAGTTATCACCAGAATAGCCAAGTTCATTTTCAGAATGAACAGTTGCCACTACAGAAGCAAAACTGGTAGAGGAGTATGTCTGTAGAAGATGATGCACACTAATAGAACTATAGTTGTTTTCCTTAGTCTTTCTTATTGCCTTTTTTACTTTTAGAGATTTCCAGAGTGCACAGTTTATTATTTACTTTTATAAACATAATTCTTTATTGGTCTGAATATTAAGTTATATTTCCCTCATTGTTTATTAAATGGCAGCGATGCTCTGAAAATAAAATTATACTGTCACTTATGCCTTTTTTTCTGCTAATACTTAAAAAATATCGTTTGCTTTTCCAAATGCCATATTAAGCACTGAAAATGAAAAGGGAATAGATACAGCCTCTGTCTTCAAGAAGCTTATAGTTTATTGGAAAGACTGAAGAATGAACTTATAATTATGGTTCTGTTTGATAACTACCATGATAGAGGTCTGAATACAAAGCTTTG